CATTGCCGCCAACGCCCCGGATCACGTCGAAGAACGAGCTGGGCTACACTCGTCACCGGCACCATTCAGCAATCCGACGGACGTGGCACTACGGTAATGCTTTGCAAAATTAGCTTAAGTAACCAAAAATTTTCGAAAACTATGAATTTGGAACGAATGGTAGAAAATGAACAAACGTTTGCTTCAGGACTCTGTCTTGGTGAAAGCTGTCTCGCTGGCTTCGATCTGCATCCGCGTCTCTTCGAACTACGTTGAAGCCGGTGGCAAGGTCTGGGCTCGCATCGATGGAATGTGCTGGACGATGAGACTGGTACTCCTTCGGAGGCGCTGAGTGGCCGCTCAAGGTTCGTGAAAAATTGTTGCTTGTTGAAACCTCGAATTTCTAGGTGAATCCGGTCGCTCGGCGACGCCAGCGTGCTCAGCTTCCTGGACTCGTTCGTGCTCGGCACGGCCCTCGAGGAGCCTGAGCAGAACCGCTTCTCCATCTCGCTGAACGCCAAAAACGCCGGAAAGGGCACGATCATGTCCGGCCGAGATGCACGCTCTTCGGCGACGCGTCACTTCCATGTATCAAAGGAATTCTTTTTATTTATTCCCTTTAGGAAAAATCTCGCATTTTCACCCGCCGAGGCCACGATCACCGTCGATGAAGCCCGGCTCTGGCTGACCCGAACATGCCGCTGACGCAGATTCGCATCGCGCCCGGACACGGAGCACACAAGCTGCTGAGCAAGTGGTGAGTTTCGGCGAATTTTGGGTGTGTATAATTTATTTATGTTCTTTTCTTATTTTGTGTATGGCTCAGGGTGGAATTCCCTGGGCACGAAGCTCAGGCATTTCGATGGCCTTAATTTCGGGTTCAAAAGCGCGAACAGCTCCTCGTCAGGGAAGAGGAGTGGCCTCTTATCTGAATTGGAGCATTATTCAATGCCATGTCTTTTCTTACCGAGTCGGAAAGGCATCGCAACCTTTTCTCCGTTCGCCGATGCTCATGCGACAGACGGCCGCATCGACGTTAGAATTGTAGATCTAGTTTATCTTTTTAGGCCACAAGCCCAACCTGCCTTCAGAATTTTATTTACCCCTCTGCTCGCTTTCCATTTCATTTCTGTACGTTTGCAAATTTCGTCGAATTGTGGGAGCGGCGATTTGGTTGTAGATACCGGGATAGATCAGAAAAAATCGACTAAAATTAGGGCCGTTAGCTCACCCTCAGCTGAATCAAGGAATTCCGCGCACGTTGGCCAGCAGCTTTCCTTGCACGCCAGCCCCTCGATCATTTTGATCAATGTTTGGAGACGTGCGTGCCTCAATCTGTAGCGAAATTTTGAGGTAACATTTAGAAATTAGAATTTTTTTGTATGAGAATTTTAGAGATTTTTGTCAACTTACCTCGGCATTTGCTTCTGTAAGCCGCTGTATTTATTGTGGATAGCGTTAAGTTCACGGTAAATGCTGGAATTGTTCTTATGACCCAGGAGGGCCTGAAATTTTATTTAATTTTAAGGGTTATTTTATTAGCTATTTGGGATTTTTTTTTCGTTATTTAGTTTTTACGTTAATCGGAAGAAAATTGGAAAGCTTATCTTCGAAAAAATATTCTATTTTTAAGAAAATAACGTTTCGATAAAAACTCCATCGTAAAATCTACCAAGAATTTGCTAGAAACTGACCTGCTGCGCTTCCTGCGCCTTATCCATCACCAATCTCGCTGCCGTATTCGTGTTATTCATGGCCTGATTTTCTATCGAAATAATATACGCCAGCCCGGCATCCACGCCTTTGCATCGTCAGCTGGTTGACCATCGTCCACGGGTTATACCCTTACAGTGAAATCGGCGACACTTGGGCCAGCGCCCCAGTTATCAGCACGAAAATATAGAGCGCCATCCCGTTAACCATACGCTGGTCCCGAAACAACTCGAGAAATGATCATCCCGCGCACGGGACTCCTCAACTTCGTACCCATATTCATCGGTGTGTTTCCCGGCCCGCGTGTGCGCTGTTCTTTCGGGATTGGCGTAACCTATCAATTTCCGAACGGTTTTTGCCGTGTTCCCCAATTTTCTCTCTCTCACATCGCTAACCAGTCATCCGGCTCGCCGGTGATTTCTGATCCAATCCGGGCGCGTCTAATTGGAAATGGCAGTTGGGGCATAGTTTTACACTTGGTAGTTTGGGTACAATTTTTCTTTCAGGAATTGAGAGCCAAGTCAGCTGGAGTGTGCCGCCAGCTTTCAACTCGCTGCTGTCGATCACGAAGAACGGGCTGCTGCGCACTTTCTCGACTTCCGGACCGGCTGGACTGTTGAAGGCCGAGTCATCGTCTGGCGCTAACAAGACGCTGCTGGTTCCGGTGCAGGTGCGGATTTTCAATAATTCGATAAATTTGGAGTTTTAGCTTGGCCTAATTTTTATTTTCAAAACGCAATAGGCGTAGCAAAAAGCAAAAATTTTTCTTCCTAGTTTTATTTTTTGTTTTTAGTGTTTTTAATCGAAAAATTTCGAAATTCGAAACACCTTGAGAAAATCTCTCAAAGTTGAAATTTTTGAACATTGAATAATTTTTGGTAAAAACTTTTTCTGCGTCAAAAAAAGGCGTAAACAGCTAGATAAATGGCGTGATTTTATGCTTGGGACTCTGTGGACTAATTTTGGGCCCCCGCGAAGATCCCAGTCCGACCAAAAACGACATTACGATTTGCAAAAACACCTTTTTTAGATCACGCCCGCTCGCTCAATCTGGGTCGAAGTTTTCCCGCCGCTCTCGGCCCCGGAGTCTTCCCCACTCACCGCCCTCAATGTTGGCCAGACGCTCGATTTGTACGTCCACTTCCGCGACCGTTTCGGCGTCCGCCTCGTCGCCGCTCCGAATCGGGTCAACTACCGTCCGCATCGGTGCGTTTACTTCTTGATTCCGATTGACTCTTTTTTTTAGCTTCGACCTTACCGAAATCGCCGCCTCCAATGGCAACCGCACACTGGCCATCACCCTGAAGACGCCTGGCGAGACTGTGCTGCGTATCTGGGACGCCGAAGATCAGAGCATTGAGACGTTCATCCGCTTCTCGGCCGTCGATCTCCCGCCACCAGATGCCAACGAGACCACCAAGGACGAGTCGATCTTGAAGGCAATCGCCGAGCCGTCGTGCCCGATTCAAGGCGCATCCACCGCTGACAAAGCGAGCAGTAAGTTGCCCTTATTTTGATTTTATGCTCTTCCTAGGCTTTGAACGGCTTGGATTCTTCGACTGGTTGCGCTATATGTCTAAACACCTGGTGACACTGCTGTGCGGCTGCGGCCTGCTGATCATCACCACATGCTGTAAGTTGCAAATTGTCTTTTGCAACCTTTGTTTCTTTTTAGGCTGGATTCTTTTGCGACGCTCTCCGTCCAAGAAGGGTGCCGCTAACCACAACACCACTGGGGTGTTCGCCTCTGATCGCTCGAACGCTAATGTGACCTACGGCAGCTCGCCCGGGTCTTCACCTTCAGGTACGCTTTAGGTTATTGTGCATAATCGGGGGCGGCTAATGTTTTCCTATTTTTGTTTTGATAAAAATGATAATAATTCAATCGTCAAAAAGTAATAAACTTAAAAAATCTTTTAATACTTGAAAATAATCAAAAATAATCATTTTTATCCTAGGACTGGCACGTTTTTGCATTTCTCGCCAAAATTTGTGAGTTTCGGCGTTTCCCACAAGTAAAAATAGTACAAAAATAGTTGATGTAGCTATACTAAAAAAGCTCTGGTTTATCGATTAAAATAATCATTTTTAGTGAGCTACACCTGGCAAGAGAACCCACCGCGATTCCACTCAACGCCAATCGAGACGTCATCGATGGGCCCGATCGGCTCCGGAGGCTCTCCCCAACTGTGGACCACCAGCCCGGTGCGACGCCGCGTCTAAATCCCGTTCCCTCATTTTGTTGTTGTTGCATTGTTCCCGCTCACGTTGTTATTCTAATGTTGTTGCCCTGTCGAAAACGGTGAACTCCCCCAAGTGATCTCTTTCTTTCATTCTCCATAGGCACCTCCCCCTCCTTTGATCCTGCCCATCCACTGACTGGTATCTTCTAGCACTCCTTGTTCCGGGCATCGCCAAACGTTTCTAGGTCTTCTTTAAAATATGACAAATGCCGGTGCGTATCTATTTGGTTGTAGCCGCCGATTTCCCGTTGAAACTGGTATTGTACTCTTCCCTTCCTTCACCCACATCCCCGATTCGCTCAAAAAGACGGGTACTGGTTCGTTAGCGAGGGGGCTTGATTTTAGCAGGGAAGCTATTTTTCTAAGTTTTCCCTAGTCGCATCATCCAAGGCAGCAATTTTCATCGCATAAAAAGTATTAAAAAAAACTCCAAATTTTGGAATTTTTTATTTTTGGCCAAAAATGTACGAAACTGTTAAAAAATCAGCTTGGCAAGCGAAAACTGCTAAAAAGGTCCTAAGAATGCCCTATTTTTGGTACAAAAGAAATTAGGCGGAATAAAGGAGGTCAGTTGCCCACTACTACGCCCCCGCTTGCGCACCAGTACCCAAAAGCGGAGGACCGGTAAAAGTAGACGGGCGGCGGGTTTTTCGGAGGCGTTCCAGCCGGTAAACAACAACTTCCGCACGTTGCGGCACTCAAAAACGCCGTGCCGACCTTGACCACTACGTGCCGCTGGCCCTCGTTCTTGCATTATCAGAAAGCGTGGCGCCCTACCCCGAAATTCGCCCCCGCCGTTATCGCCCATTGTTGCTTTGGATTTTTGCCCCGTTGCTCTCTCTATTCTTTCCCAGTTTCCTTTGGCCGATTCGCAAATAAATATTAACCAATTTACCTCCTTGTAAATGCGTCTAACAACAACGGAATTTCCCTGCACTGATTCTGACAAGCACGACGTTGAAGGTTCTTTCTGTGAGCATCGGGATTTTTCTTTTGTTTTCAGGGATGAATCGAGGGCTTCTCTTCCGTCAGGTTGGACTTTCAAAACAAGCTGTTAGCCAGCTTCTTTAGCTCTTCGAGAAGACCTCGTCGACGTACACCTACATTCTGGGCTGCCAGAAGACGCGCGAGGCGATTATTATCGATCCGGTCAAAGAGACGGCGCCAAGGGATGCAAAGGTGTGATAATCCGACTGGGCAAAGAACGCTGATTTTGAGCGACTGGCTTATCATGCCGAAAACTAAGACATATTTGCAACAGCTTTGTACATAATATTTCCATTGCAGTTGCTGAACGAGCTGGGCTTGTCGTTGCGATGGGCGTTGAACACCCACGTCCACGCTGATCACATTACCGGGACCGGCGCGTTGAAGCAGGTAGAGTTTTGTAGGCATGCAATTATCATCAGCTTTTAGCTCATCCCTGGGGTCAAGTCCGTCATCTCTAAGGCGGGCGGAGCACGGGCTGATCATCTGATCGAGCACGGAGATGTTATTCAGGTGAGGATTAGAATATTTCGCGCATTTTTACCAAGTAGAATTTTTGCAAACAAAATGTCAAACCGGAGCCTAGAAATTATTCTTTTAGTTCGGCGGTGAAGAAATCGAAGTACGCGCGACTCCCGGGCATACGAACAGTCGGTTTCTACTTTTAGTCGTAAATGTACAATTTTAGGCTGCGTCACCTACGTCCACCACGGCGGCCGCATGGCTTTCACCGGCGACGCGCTGTTGATTCGTGCTTGCGGGAGGACGGATTTCCAGGAGGGTAGGTCCTTGTAAAACCAGCTTTTCTTTTTGATGAATTTTATATGAAGTTACGTTTTGAGGCTGCCCGCAGCGTCTCTACAAATCCGTCTGGGAACAAATCCTGTCGCTGCCCGAGGATTATTCAATTTTCGTCGGCCACAACTACGAGGGAATCGAGCAGACCAGTGTTGCGGGTATTTTATAAAATTTTCTGTTTCATAAACTATATTTAGAAGAGAAAAAGTTCAACCCACGCCTAACAAAAAGCGAGGAGGAGTTTGTGCACATTATGAAGAATCTGAACCTCTCCTACCCCAAGCAAATTGGTAATTATTTAATTTTCGCGACCAATTTTGTTTTTTAGATCGCGCCCTGCCCGCCAACCTGGTCGACGGAGAGCTGGAGGAGAAGCACGAGGCCGAGGCGAAATGAAGCTGTAGCAATGTATAATTTTATTCTGTACCATGCTGAAGTAATCTGTGATTTTGTGCCTTGTGTTTAGTCCATATTCGTGATAAATTGAGGGTAATCAAAACTACTTGGATGGCAAATCACATGGCATAAGTTGAAGCTGCCTTATTTGTTGAGATTTCCATTTTTGAAAGAAGCAAGTAGGCTGCAATTTCGAACACCCGCCTTTCTGCGTAGTCAACAAAGGCCGGGGCGTAGCCGCTGAATAACCAATTTTATAGCGTGTTGCTGGGCGACCCCGGGGTCGAAGAAGCGGAAATGGTTGTCGTTGCGACAGTTGACCTGGATTTTGGCTCAATGCTTGCACTTGCTTGCTCTCATTTGCTCAAGAAACTTTGTTTTCACGTTCCTACGAAAATTTGTTGCCGATTAATGCTCATTACAACTTTTTTCAGAGCCTATGGCTGAGACTACATTAGAAGTAGGAAATCGAATTTTCGTCAATTTTGCCGGGGAGCCGGAACAACGCGGATTTTTACGATATTTAGGCCCGGTGGATGGGCAGAAAGGTGAATTACGCATTTGGAAAACAATATTCGTTTCGATTTTAGGAACCTGGTGCGGTATCGAATGGGATGACGTGACGAGGGGCAAGCACAATGGCACCGTCAACGGAAGGGATTATTTTCGGACTCGGTTAGTCGAGAACTTGGCGTTTTACAACAATTTTGGATTTTCTAGAGAGCCAAAAGCCGGATCGTTTGTCAAGCGAGAGCTGGTGTCGGGCGGCAAAAATTTGTTTAGCCAGGTTGGTTGTTTGTAAAAAACTCGGGCTTCTCGCTTGTTTTATAAAACTTCAAGCTTGTTATTAGCTCGATTTTTTTACAGATCGAAGAGCGCTACGCAGTGGACGAGGACAACGAAGAAAACGAATTTATGGGTTCCCGAATGGTCGAAAAAGTAGGGATGCAGAAGGTGCACCAAAAACAAAGGTAGCCTCTTTTCTCCTATTATTGTTTTCTAAAAAATCCTTGCAACTATACGAGCTTTTCAGGGACATCTTCCGGCTGAAAATGATCGTCCTTGATGGTATGCGAGTTGCGAAACCGCCACCCCTGTCGACACCTCTTTTTAGCTGCTGTAGCGAGCTGAATTTGCACAATAATCTCTTGCACAGGTGGGATTACTATTGGCAAAAAATTATGTTTTTCAGATGGAAAGACGTGTTCGACATTGTCAATTGCTTCCCAAACCTGAGGGAGCTGATTTTGAGGTGGGAGTTCTTCGAAAGCTGAATTTTGAACTTTAGGCAAAACGCAATGGAAAATGTGGACCGAGTCGATGCTTTTGCCGACTACCCCGATGTAAAGGCCCCAGTTTTTCACTTGGTGCTGAATTATTGCGGTGTTTCGGAGACGACGGTAAGTGGATTTTTCAAGAAAAAACAACATATTCTTTAAGATCACCGCTGTGTTGTCGAAATTCCCGGCTGTCACGGATCTGTACGCCAGTGGCAATTGCTTGACTTCATTCAACCCGGGAGATTGCGGCAAAAATTTGAGGTATATCAACTCATCAGGAATTACAAAAAGTGTTCAGGCTCGTCGACCTCGAGCACAATCCGATCACCAGCTTCGCTTCGATCGACTCGGCAAACGCGATTACTGGGTAGCTTCGATAAATTTTAGCCATTTGTCCCTTTTAGGCTCGAATCCTTGAGCTTGATGAATTGCCGTGTTTCGGAGGTTGCGCTTTCCGGACGATTTCCAAACCTGAAAACGCTGTATTTGAAGGGGAATCCGTTGCACGAGGTTGGGTCCACGAAACTAGTGTTATTTTATTTTTAGTGGTCTTCTATCAACGCGTTATCTTCTCTCAAATCTCTCTCTACCCTCTTCATCAGCTCGGCCAATTTTACGGCAGAAAATGGCATGGATGTGCGAGAGGTGAATTTTCGATTTTGAACCACTAATACCCGAGATTCAGGTCCTCATCGCCAAACTGCCAACGATAACGATGCTGAATCGAGGTGACGTGAGTGTCGTTGAGCGGCGATCCGCTGAAATGAGGTTTTTAAACTTTTGAAGCTTGATATTCCGATTCAGATTCGTCAATCGCTACAGCCAACTCGCAGAAGCTTTGAAGGCGCCTCACGAAGCCGACCTCAAGCGACTTATAGCTGTAGGTTTCTTAGAAAGTGTCATTTTCTGCTTTTTTTTAGATTCACGGCGAGCCGATCAAGGAAACCGTCAAGAAAGGAATTTCGGTGATACGCGTGAAATTGATCTACGAGGGAAAACTGGTGGAACGGCCAGTCCCGGCGTCAATCACGGTATTTTAGCCCTTACATCTGAAAATTTTTTTGATTTCGTCTAGGTTGCAAAACTACAAGAAATCGCGGCGCGCGTATTTTCGCTTGACCCCTCCGGGGTGACGTTGTTTGTGGAAAAGGAGGTTTGCCGGATTTAGCTATTCTTATAAAGTTCTCGTTTTTAGGGCCGAACCCCTGACGAGCTATCGATTCTGGCCCGACAACTCTCCTTCTACTCCATCGAGGCCGGCGACACGATACGGATTGATGCCTAATTTTGCTCATTTTTAATTCATTCAACTTTCTGTGATTTGTACCGCATTCTTTTTCTTTGCTAGTCTGTGATTTTTCGGGTATGTGCTGAGATTCTGTTAATAATAATGATATTGAGCTTAATAAATGTGCTAAACTTCGATTTTGGTATTCTCACATTGGTAAAAATCCATTCCAAGAAATACAACGTTGCGAAGGGGGCTAATATAACCGGAAACAGTATTTAGCTCCAAGTTCGAACTCAAACATGCCGAAAAGTGACAGCGACGTAGAAGTGATTGCTGGCTCGTCGTCAAGCCCCGGGTCTGCATCGGAGCGTCGCGGCTCGGAAGCCACAGCCCCCGTTTCGGCAGAAGAAGCCCCAAAACCGCGCGTCATCTACGAGTACATTGTCAGATGCTGTAAGTTTTGAAAATTGATAAAATACATTTTTCTTCTACTTTCATCTGTTTTTCTTTGGTCTTTCAAGATATCTTTTCTAGGCGTCCGGTTAGAAGCGCTGAATCGAACATGCTGCGCCGCCATCCGGTTGATGCATAGACTCTATGAAAGGAAGATTGTCAAGTATATCTGTAACTATGTAAGTGTTTTTTGTCCACTCTTACCTTTAAACCTATATTGTCCTTTGCTTAGCCTGTAGTCTATTATACCTTACAAAATATATTCTGTGTTTTAGTCCCTCGCCACTGCCTGCATCATGGTGGCCGCGAAAAGCGAGGAGGACTCTGGGATTCGAATCAGGGACGTCGTCAATGTTTCGCACAGGATTCTTCACCCTGAAAAGCCGCCCATCGAAGTCGACGACTCGTTTTGGACCTTACGGTTTTTAGAATTCTCATTTTTCATCATGTTTCAGGCGTTCGCTCGGCCGGCTAGAATTTGTCGTGCTTCGCGAGCTCTCCTTCGATACGTACATGACACATCCACATCAGGTAAATTTTGAAAGCATTCTTATAAAGTTACTTCCGATTTCGTTTTTTTAGTTAGTACACCTTTGATTTTCAGCTCTTAACGCTCTACCTTGACTTGCTCGCCTCCTGGATGCCGGAGGAGTTTGAAAAGTACGATTTCTGGCTCCTTTTTTAGAAACTTTTTTAGGTTCGACATCCGAGAACAAGCGTTCGCCATTCTCCGTGACTGCCACATCGTTCCCGAGTTTGTGCTCGAGCACTCGCACGAGAGTCTGGCGCTTGTGGTAATTTTTATCCTTAAAAATTCATACTCATTCTCAGGCGCTCTCGCTCGTGCTGAAGGGCCACGATCTGTACGTGCCGAATTGTCGCGATTTCTATACGGTAGATCTCCTTTTACAACCCTGAAAAGATTTGTTTAGGTTTTCTCCAAGCACATGAGCGAGCGGAAATTGCGGCACCTAGAAGAGGAGGTTCTTCAAGACGTCTACGGGCAACGGCTAAAATGACGTGGTGTATTTTGTTTCCCATTTTCTGTTATTGTATCCATTGTTATTTTATGCTCAACGCTTGATGAAGATATTTATCGAAACCATGATTCCGCATTCGATTAATTTCAACTTTCTAATGGCAGTTATTCTTTTTCTTCTGGCGCGCCCTCCTCAGCGGTCGCTTCCCCGCTTGTGGAAAGTTGAACGCTGGGCGCTTCCAGGGCCTTGGCTTCCTGGTAGGCGGTTAGGAGCTCCTGAAAAGTATTCTACTTCCGGTCACTATGGTTTTAGCACCTCTTCGAAGGCTCTGTCGAACTCGCGCTCATTCCGCTGGCGTTGCATCAGAATCAGCGCGGTGAGCACGTGGCCGACCAGCCAGATGCCGACGGCCACATAGAGCAGCGGATCTGGAAGTTTGGCTTGTTTTCCGGAAGTATGCTGTAAAGCGACCTCCGAAAATTTCATCGTCGTCGTTGTCGGCCGCGTCATCGTCGGCAAACGCGCGTATCTCTTCACGATCCTCCTCGGTGAAGTCTTCCTCGGCGAGCAACACCATCGGGTTGAACAGCTCATCTGGCTCGTCCTAGGAGTTATGTAACAGAAACCGCATTGTTGCAACAAATGTTTCAGGCTAAGATTTTAGCTGAAAAAAAGCTTCAGAAGCTTCGGAATAGGATAGCTGGTTACCGGAGGAGCTTGAACTGCTCCAGAGTAGAAGACCAGCGAGAGCAGCGCAACCACCCTCAATAAAATCATATCTGCCAATGAAAAATTTCGCGCAAAATCCCATTCAAATGTATTTCCCAAAAAATGTGCATTTCGACCAAATTTTCCGCAACGTTTATCAATTCCAACCAAAGTAACAACAAGTAACAACCTGGTAACAATTTTAACAATGTGAATTATCAATTTTGCCCTTTCAATTATTCTTCCTCCTCGTCGTCGGCCTTCTTGGACTTCCTCTTCTTCTTCGGCTTCTCCTCCAGCGCCACGTTTTCCATCTCCTCGTCCGCGTCCGCAACGGCGCTCTTCTTCTTTTTCTTCGGCGGCGGCTCGTCGGCTTCTTCCTAGAAATAAAAAAGGTATTGCGAAACAAAAGGAAAACCGACCTCAGCAGTCTCATCCAAAATCTTCTTTGCTTTCTTGGCGGCCTTCTTCCTCTTCTTGAGAACCTTGGTGCGGGTGCCTACTGCTTCCTCTTCAGCTGCCTTCATCACGTCAATGTTTTTGGCGGGGACCTCTCCAGTCTCGAAGTAACGGAGTCGCTCTTCAACTTGTGCACGCAAGTGTTCTCCGAAAGTTTCGACGGGAACCTCGGAGAAGCAATCAATGCGGGATGCCATTGTGCACTTGTTGGCCAGGAATCGCGAGATGCGACCCTTGTTCTTGGCGGCGGCGCGTCCGATGAAGGGTGAGTGGAACAGCAGTCCGTACTTGGGCGTGTTGCTTCGCGTCTTGAGGGCTCGGAACAGCGCCTTTTCTGCACCGAGGATTTGAATCGTTGAGGCGGGGAACTTGGCGAGGTTTGTTAGAGATCCGGCATGTGAGATCAGACGAGCACCGACCTAAAAAAGGAAGTTGATGCATGCACGAGATCGGAACAAGGGCAAAAGTAACAACGAAATTATACGGACCTGCTCGCCAACGAGGGCCGAAAGTGACGGAGCGCAGCTGTGCATACGGTCCTTGATATATCCGTGGAGACGCTGACGGTACTCGGTAAGTGATGCGACACGGGCAGCGAATCTATAGCAAATGTAAAAACTTATAAAGCTTGTGGATACCTTTCAATGTTCATCAGATCCAGATCGGAAATGTCCATGCCCATAGATGTGCGAGCAGCCTCGACGATTTCAGCAACCTTTTCTTCATCTTCGATGATTTCTAAACAAAAAGTATGAAGCTGGGTTCGGTAAATATACCCAGCAATTTCGCGGGTAGCTCCGGGTCTTCTGAAGACTTGTTGCGATCCAGGATGGCGACGGCGCACCGCACATATTTGTATTGGTCGCCGACGATCTTGTAGAGCTCTGGGTAGTGGTACGAGTACCACTCGCGGATGCGCATTCCGAAGAGGTTGATGTCCTTGTCGAGCTGGTCGAGCAAGGCAATAGATTGGATGACCATGTTGTCGACACGGTGAACGTCGAATTTGACCTAAATGAGCGATATTCTAGAATGATGCATAAATAATTACCTTTCCACGAGAATAAGAGTGACCAAGCGAGAGTTGAGCCTTGGACAGCGAATGATGGGGCAGCTTCTTGGCAAGCGTCTCAAAGTGAACACGGATGCCGCGGAGGATCTCAGTGATGAGATTTCCGAAGGTCGGCTTCAATTCGGGGAACGACTCCACCAATGAGCTGGCCAGCTTTCCGTCGTTGACACCGATGATAACCTTCTAAACGAAAGAGAATGCAAGAAACAAGGTGAATAAATTACCTTCTTCTTTTGCGGTAGATTCTGCTGGAGGAAGTTGATCAAATCGGCATGGGCAACACCTTCGGAAATCGAGTTGCAGTTCTCGAGGGCAGACTCGGTGTTCTTGAATGGATCGAAGGCGATCAGGTTGACGATGTTGGAGAATTTCGACACATCGCCGACAGAGTCATTGACCTAGAAATGAATTAGCATTGGCAAAATGTTCAAAAACCCTTGGCATTCAATTGGGTTGCAGACGACGCAACCGAATAAATTTTCCGCTGGCAAATAAGGGTCCAAAAAGCCATAACTTCTCACCTGTGGTAGAATGTTGCCGGCATCCTCAAATTCCTTGACTTTGAAGAGAGCGTAACCAACGGCGTGCTCGTAGAGCACGAAATGCGGCACCTCCGCCATGACGAGCGGTTCGGATCACCTGAAATTCACGATTGCGATGACCGTCTCGGGTATAATCCCACGAGAAACGGCATCGGATCCTTGATTCTGATCATCGGGACGAGTCCCTCATAGAAACGTGCGCTTGCGGCACGTCTCGGCGGATTTCGTACATGAATGAAACCAGGAAATGGTTTCAAAAACGGACTCATTCACAGAGTTTGGCATTTTTGGTGAAGAGAATGTGAGAAAAACGCCGAGGTCGAGGCACGAGGAGAAAAACTACCGTAGCGGGACGGCGTTGGCGATTTGCCAGCGACTAGAAACTACAGAGATTCGAGTCCCTGATAAAAGCGTTGCTAAGAAATAAAGAAAGTGCCTTGTAAAATGAAATAAAAATAGAAATTTATCATGATTTTTGCAGAAATAGATAGCGCTAAAAAGCATTTATAGTTTTTTCGAGCAATTGGGCTCGGCGTCAAAAATATCATAGAGAAAATAGAGGAGAAAATGGCTGGCCAAAGTTTTGCTAAGAAAGAAACAAAGTTTTTTAGAAAAAGGAAATATAAATAGCTTATCATGATTTTTCAATAAATAGATAATAGAGAGATGAATAGAAATACATAGTTTTTTTTTTCAGGAAAATGAAAGGAAATGAAAATGAAACTTGTGGGAAGGTGAAATCTACTATATATAAAATTCTAATGTCCGTGCGCCCGTGCGACCGGGAATTCAGCCAAATTTTGCATTTAAATTCAAAATTCAAATTGTTGCCGGGAGAAACCCAGCGCTGAACCCCCGCGTAGCGGGGGGTCAGCGCTGGTAACTAGTAAAATTTGTCGGGTTTCCTTTTTCCTATTCTTCTCGTTTCCCAAATATTAATTTTACAGGGTATGTCGGCACTTCGCAACATCAACGGGCTGAAGGCCATCGTCAGTGGCGGCGCCTCGGGTCTGGGATTTGGCGCTGCAAAGGTGCTCGCTAGTCAAGGTAAAGTTCTTTGCGTTTCCCAAAAACCCTTTTAGGAGCGAAAGTCGCCATCCTTGATCTCCCCACATCGAAGGGAAACGACGTGGCCAAAGAGCTGGGCAGCAACGTCATCTTCGCCCCGGTCGACATCTCCAAGGAGGAGCAAGTGAAGGCCGCCTTCGACACGGTCAAGGAGAAATTCGGAGGGTAGGTTGTGACGTTAGACTATGAATTCGCGAGTTTAGATGCGATGCAGTGGTGAATTGCGCCGGAATCGCGCACGCCTACAAGCTCTACTCGGTAAAGAAGCAAAAGATGGCGGAATTCGATAAGACGAGACAAACGATCGAGGTGCTTTTTCTCAAAAAGAGGTGAATTTCGCTTTAGGTGAACGTGCTCGGCAGCTTCCATATGGCGCGTTACGCGGTGGCACTCATCGGCGAGAACAAGGCCGACGAGCACAACCAACGAGGCGTTTTCATCAACACCGCTTCGGTCGCCGCTTTTGACGGACAAATTGGGCAGGTTTGTGTTATCAAAAAACTTGAATTCTTCTTTCTACAAATGCTCGTGTTTAGGAGATATTCGGTTTTGTGATCTGATCTAGCCGAGATGGATCTTGAAATTCTGCAACTAACGAAAAGGCAAAACCGACCGATTTTTCTTGTTTTCAGTCCGCCTACTCGGCCTCAAAAGGAGCCATCGTCTCGATGACTCTACCATTGGCGAGAGACCACGCCGAGGACGGAATCCGCTTCATGACGATCGCCCCCGGGCTGTTCAACACCCCGCTACTCGCCGGGCTCCCGGAGAAGGTCAAGAAGTTCCTCTCCCAGCTCGTGCCGAACCCTTCGCGAATGGGCGAGCCAGAGGAGTACGGGGCGCTGGTGAAGCATATCATCGAAAACAGGCGAGTTATTGCATAGCCTTTCAACCTTTTAAGTATTAAAAATAGTCCATTTTGTTTCACTATTAATTTTGACTTTTAGGTATCTCAACGGAGAAGTCATCCGGCTGGACGGCGCCCTACGCATGCCGCCGTAAAAGCGCCGGGATTCGACGACAACCCTAGAAGCATTTATCGGATATTCGTGTTTCATTTTCCAGTTTTAATAAATATTGTATTAGCTATTCACAGATTTTAAAGGCACTTTTCGCGCAAGTTCTAGTGGTGGCTCCCTGGGGTGGGTTATATGCCCGGGCGTGAGGAGACTGGCGCGAAAGGACGCCGTTCAACCGGGCCGGCATTCAAATTGGGGCCTTGAGGTCATAAAGTGCCAGCCAGTGACCGGTTGCCGTTTCTTATGGTAGAGTTACGAAACAGAATTTGCAGTCTTGAGGCTAAACGCCGGTTTGCACCCGAGGTGCCTTTTAGAATACGCCAGTGTACAAAGGGCTACGCGTCGGTTACGGTAGGACAGTCGACCTGCTCTATTTTCCTTTTCATTTTCCATTTCCTACTTTTCTAGCAATTTTCCGGCGTCGGCTGCCTCGCGGTAAGCATTCGCAAGTCTTTCATCTTCTTTGACCTATCATTCTTATTTATCTTTTCCAATTTTCCAATTTCACTTGGTAGTATGCAAGTTGGCGCAAACCACTAAGCGACTTTTGGCCCTATTTTCTTAACCCATTGTTTTTGGTTTACCAGATCTTTGTACTTCGGTTGGTTTGTTTTAGAACTTAGGATTAGTTTCGTATTATCATTGCACGCTAGGGCTTCGCTGGGACACTTAATTCACCCCCTCCCCACTGGCGCTCACCTTTCTTATCTAAAATGGCCCTTCCAAATTCATATTTTCTTTCAATTTCCTTTTGGCTTCCCCTTTTTTATATCAGCTTTTCCAGCTGGTGATGGCACAGCCTCACTTTTCGCTAGATGACTTCCAGAAGTTGGAGAAGATCGGCGAAGGCACTTATGGAGTCGTCTACAAGGGGCGCAACAAGAAGACCAACCAGACGGTCGCCATGAAGAAAATCCGGCTCGAGGTTTGTCGCCCTCTTTTGCCCCTATTTACGTTTGATTTTAGGCAGAAGATGAAGGCGTCCCCTCGACGGCCATCCGTGAGATCTCGCTACTCAAGGAGCTGAAGCACCCGAACGTCGTCGCACTGGAGGACGTGATCATGCAGGTACATTTTGCTAACATTACTTTTATTTTGGTTTAGGAAAACCGCCTCTACTTGATCTTCGAATTCCTCTCGATGGACCTCAAGAAGTTCCTCGACCAGCTGCCCGCACGAACAATGCTCGACGCTGTGACGATGCAGAGCTACATGTTCCAGATCTTGCAGGCCATGTGCTTCTGTCATCAGGTATTATTTGATATTATATTCGCTACTAATCTCTCAATTTAGCGCCGTGTCATCCACAGAGATCTGAAGCCACAAAATCTGCTGGTCGACGGGAAAGGAGGAATAAAGCTCGCCGACTTTGGGCTGGCCCGCGCTATCGGAATCCCGGTGCGCATCTACACACACGAGGTGAGAATTGTTTCTTTTTCAAAACTTGCTTTCAGGTCGTAACACTATGGTACAGGGCCCCCGAAGTGCTACTCGGCAGCAAGCGTTACTCGATGGGCGTCGACATGTGGAGCATCGCGTGTATCTTCGCAGAGGTATCGAGTAGTTTTTGAGAAAAGTATAACGCTTTTTAGATGGCCACAAAGAAGCCCCTGTTCCAAGGCGACTCGGAGATCGACGAACTCTTCCGCATATTCCGCATCATGGGCACGCCGACCGAGGAGGAGTGGAAGGGTGTCTCGCAGCTCGACGACTTCAAGGCCACCTTCCCCAAGTGGAAGTACAGCGGCGGACTCGAAGACACGCTCAGCAAGCATCTCAACAAAGAGGGTCTCCATTTGCTCCGGGTATGTGATTGTGTTTTTTTTGTTTGGTCCAACTTTCGTTTTCATATTTATTTATTCTTTTCTTTTAGGAAATGCTCATCTACGACCCGTCGCTGCGCATCTCATCGAAGCGTGCCCTGCAACACCCCTACTTTGACGACATTGACTCGAACATGCTGCCCGCTGGAAACTACCGCGGTGAATTGATCCTGAATTAAGGCCTGTGTGTACATTTTTCTGATTATCCTTACATTATCGATAAATATTCTCCACTATCGGGACCATTGGCCGGGAAGGAGAAGTGGCGGGGCGGAAGACGCGTGAGCGCGCATTTGGAAAGAGTGAGCCGTGAAACTGTGTTCTGCCATACAAATGTGGGAGAGCATCTATGGGAACTACGAGGACGCATGGGGTGTTTGATTGGAAATTCGGCAGCAGGTTGACTTTGGAGATTGGTTGAATGGAAGTTGAGTTGAGTGGCGCGATGGTGTTGTTCTTATTGTTGGAAACCAGGCAATCATCCTGAACCGTGTAGGAGACGCTGCTTGCCGAGTTCCTGGCCGAATCGACGAGCAGCTCTTCCTGGGAGCTGATGCTGGATCCCTGAAAAGTCATTTCGAAGTTATTCTACTTTTTGATTTAGATACCTCTCGATCGCCGTCGCAGCGGCGCTTATTTTGGAAGATGGCAACGGCTACAGCGACAAAGAAAATGATCGGGAACAGCTGATGGAAGAGGAGGATCTGCAAGGTCTTTTTACAAGTGGGCTTGTTTGAACCAACAGTTCGCCCCTTGGCCCGCGCTTCTTTCGCCACCAAAGATGGCTCAATCGTCGGCTCGGACGGATCGAAGAAGAAGCCCATTCTCGCATATGAATAGTAGACAGTCTCGTGCTGGAAGTGCTCGGCCAACCTTCCGAAGCAGCCGACTAAACAAGCCGTTGAAGTTATGCGCAAGTTTCTGCAAGCTTGAATGAAGGTTCACCTACCTCTGCTGTACACCCAGACGAGGTTGGTGATGCATGCCGAGTAGCTGGCCCAGAGAAACCCATGGAAGTGGCGCGGCTTTCGGCGGTGGAGCCAGAGAAAAGTTGCGCCCTAAAAAAGTCCCGTTGTCCAAATTATAGAGACGAGCGCTCATGTCCAATTTAGCTTTCACGCTCACCAAAGCCACAAGCAACATTATGCCAATCGAAGAGCCGAGCGAGACCAGATGAGCCAAGATAAACATCAGCGAGATGAGCAGCTTCGGTGGCTCGCCATCTATAAGGGTTGTTATATGCAAAATTCCAGTTTTTTCTAGAGTTCTAATTTTGGATAGCCGAACCTTGTTGTTCAGAAATCGTAGAGACGGCCCCGATTGAGCAGAGAAGCGACAGCACCAAACTTGTGGCGTAGAAAGCACTAAATTCGAAGTAATGTGTAAATTCTAAGAAACCAACTGTGCCGTCGACTTCTGCGTTTTCCAGATTGCAAATCGGAGCATCAGGCACGAGGCGAGCGGATGGAAAATTGCAATCGAGGCGTAGAGCACGAATTCGGGCCAGAAAATAAACGCAGACCTGCAATTTTTACCATACTTTGAGCCACTCCAGGTGGATAGCTTCTCGAACTCCTGTTATTGTGCTCACTTACCCAATATATTCGCGGATGACGACGCTCAGCAGTGTGTCGATACCGCGCAGTAGCGTGTTGATGCTGAGCAACGCTGAAAAGCTTTAGAGGTAAAGTAAATATGTAATACCGGCCATATATACGGCAAAAATCCATAACGGCGAGTTTAGATTTCGTTTCCAGATGAGGAGACACCAAAACAGAACGGAAGCCAACGTCTCGGCGATCACTGAAGCACCGCAAAGTTCACCTGAAGTATGGCGATAAGAAGTGCATATTCATAAACCGTGGCAGGATCCCAAATAAAGCACTCACCAACGGTAAGGCTGAGCCTCAAAGCGTTGTAGTCGCCCCAGTCGAGATCTCGCGAAAACACGTCGAGTATATCCATTTCGCGTTCGTAAAGTTGAAGCGCTCGTGCCGGTAGCAGATCAAACCCGAATTTTGGGTCGTATTCAACCGAACCCGCTTTATATACCCGAATCGAAAATCACCAGGTCGACGGGCCGTCGACCCAGCTGCAAATGCCAGTCTTTTTCAGGAATTAAATCGCAGGTCAGCAGCGCAAATGACCGGTCTGCTGGCCCGCTTGGCCGTCATTCGCCCCGTTGCCAGGGGCCCGCGCCGCAACAGAACCCATATAGGTTACAATTAGTACAGGTGAAGCCCGGCGCTTCCGCCCAAAAAACAGCAAACTTTGGTGCCCCGGCTTCAAGACGCGTCAAAAAGCTGATGTGAGCAGTCATCCTAAGCAAACCTTGCCCATATGCCCTTAAATTAATATACTGCAGTGCCTCACCCAATTTTTGTCGAACTTTATGGAAAACAGGCAACAGAAAATACAACGGCGTTTGCCGAAAGCAAGCTAAAACAACTCATGCGAATTTGGAGGAAAACGAGGGGAACAAGTCAAGGCAATCCGGATAAATGTACAAATTGGGAAGGGCATGTAATGTCAAAAGCCGAAGCGGTTGTCGCGTTCGGGCTAGGCTTCCTTGTGGGGGAAGAGCACCTCCGTGGACGGGTTCCGGATCACGTAGTCACCGGCCTAAACGGGGAAGTTTTTGCGGGTAAATTAATGCCTTACCGGCGTGTCTTCGACGGTACAACCCGTGCGTGGGGGTCGGCGCTCCATGAAGCTGATTGATTGCGATCTAAATTGAAGTTGACACCCAACAAAATTAGATTACCTCTTCTGGGCGTTGGTCCTTGCCCTCAGCTGCGCGATTTTACGGGCCATCACTAAAGACAATACATAAAAAGTTATAAAAGAAGGTTTACGGTGTTGGCGCTCCATCAGCAGGTCGTAGTACTTCTGGTCAAGGTAGAGTGACGGGTGCGTCAGGGCCTCATCGTCCCCTACCAAGAAAATGTTGCAAACGGTCAAATTCATACAGCGGAAACGTTTGCGGAGCTTCGGAAGCCGCGGCAGCCCATGGCGCTCTTGGTACCTGTGATAGGCCAGCGTGTTGATCATGTTTCTTTCGGGCTCCCACGAGTTCGAGTCGACCTCATAGCCTTCCCAAGATACCTAAAAAAGCGTTATTATTCCAATAAGCTTCGCCTACGCGGAATAAATATGGGCAGTGCACAGTTTTGTCGAACGTTTCGGGCGCGAAGATTTTCCATGGCGCGTTCATGGTCTTGTAGATGCCCCGGCGGTAGTTCATGTGCGAAATCCAGGCGTCCTCGAATCTAAAAGAAATTGATAAATAGAAATCAAAAGCCATACCTGATGTAGTTGAGGATTTCTTTTACATCGTACTCCGGTTCGTCCTCCACTTCTTCAACTTGCTTCTTTTTGGATCTTGCCATTCCGCTAAATTGAAAAATTAGAACAGATAATAATAGGGAGTTAATCAAGTGTTTCGAAAACAGTAGTCCAGTCACTTTAGTAAAGCAAATTTAGGAAAAAAGAAGTTGCGGACAGAATATGGGGGAAAGTAACGGCTGCGGAGTTAAGTCCTGCAGCGACGAGGCCAGGACGCAATACTTTATGGGGTACTGTATCTTTCTGGCCGGTCCACGCTTTAGGCATCGAAAATGTCATTTATTGTCGTTATCGAAAATTTAAATATCAAAAAAGAAAAACGAAAATAATAAAATTCTGTTTGAACTGCTATGTGCTAAAAATAAAAAATTCTGTTGCGCACCCCATTATGCTCTCGCGTCATTTGGAGTGTTTTGTCAATTTGGGGACATGCGATTGTTTTTGGAAAACATTTATCCATCCAGATTGAGTAACTGTTTGAAGAGTAAAAACTTTATACTATAAAATCAGATAGAATTGTGAGCAGAAGGAAGGAGATCGCAGAAAGGCCAATAAAGTCGGGGTTGGTCCATTTTTCGGGGGTTGCAATCCCGGGCAGGGTTTTTTGGGCGCCGCTGTGAATTAATGGGCAGTTTTTTCCGTTTTGCGAAGCTGCTTTTGCCATAAACGTGGAATCGAAAGCGTCAGAACATGTACAAATGTCAACGTTTGCGTATCAGAGGGCAATATCTTGGTGGGCCAGGCGCAGGGTGGATGGGCGGCTGCTGTTGGCCGCCGAGGACAGCGACGACAAATGGCAGATCGAAGCGGAGGGCTAAAATATTTGTTGTTTTAATGTTTTATTAACGCGGTTTTTAGCTTTTTAGAGCCGGTTGTTGCAAAATTCGACCCACCTGTACGCCATTTTCATACGTGTGCGAGCGGCTCATGTGCGCCGAGGTGGAATGGGAGAGGAAAGACTGGCCCGAGATCGACGCGTTCATCCGGGCCCTGAAGTTGGTTAGTGAGCTTGGTTTAGAGGGCGTAATTTTTGCTAGGTTATTACACCCGAAAAAGATTTTTTCCGTGTTCTACAGCAATTTTTGGGCATTGGACTGTTAGCAGGGGGAACTACTTTTTATTTTTTGCCACCTACACCTAACTGTTAATAATGAATAATGTACTTTTATAGTGTTTTTAGTGTTTTTTCATTTATAGACAGGATTTTAGGTAATTTTTAAATGCATTTTTGGCCAAAACGTCAAAAATTATTACTTTGTTATCAGCTTTTTATATCTAAAAACGGTGTAAAAATACTATAAAAATGGTTTATATTTCATTATAAGGCCGTATGGGATTACTGGGAAAAATTTGCTTCCCTCCCCCCTCTAAGAGTTCAGTCCCCATCTTTCCTAGATTTTGCCATCCCTAAAAAGAATGTTGTGTTTTTGACGGCGTTGTAAATTTTTAGGAAGATTCTAAATTTTAGAGCCCAAAATTCTAAATTAAATTTAGAATTCCAATTCTAAATTTTAGAAAAAAGGTCTTTCGCTACGTGATTTAGTAATTCGCACCTATGCTTTGCTTGTTGCCAGACATGCACCCGGGCGAAGAGGGCATGGAAGCAGAACAGCCCGCAAACAGCTGCTAAGACGACGACGATCAAAACTATCGTCGATGGAGAAAGCTGCTCCCAGAATGGTAGTGACGGCAGGGTACGCGCGTTTACGCACGATTCTAGAAGCGGTGACGCTGCCTGAAAAAGCCAACAATTTTAACGAAAACTTAGTATCGTAGCGTACTGATCGAAATTAACGCGAATTTTAGCAATTTAACGTACCTCCGCATCACTGCTCAAGATACTCGAGCCAAAAAGTCGGCTGCCGCTCGACAAGCGAATACTTTAGGCAAAAGGTGTAATTATGTGCGGGGCGTAGTCGCAGGATACTGTAGGATAGCCAAGGAGAAAGCAGCGACAATTGGACGGCTCGCTGTCGAGAGCCTAAATCTAATTTGTTTCAGGTATCAAGTTTATACAAACCACTCTCATCAGCTACCGTAAGATGAAGCGCTACTCGGTCTGCCGCATCCACCCTCAACGAGTCGTTCCACGAGACCGACGCGTAGTGGGCGCCAATCTAAAAAAATTATTTTCTTGAGATTTCGGGGTACTGGTTCGTTAGCGGGGGGGGGGGGGTGACACAGCTTTTTCCGGTCTTTCCCTGAGGACCCGATCACCAAATAAGCTATTTTTACGCCATTTTTCGGCCTGAAACGCTTATACAAGAATATTGAAATCTGCCAAAAAGCATTTAGCGCTGCTTTTAGACATATAAACTTAAAAAATTTGATTAAAATTGTCAAAAGGTTGAATTTTCAGGTGAAAATTTCGAATATTTTCATCTCTATTTTTTATACCTTTTTTTTGGTAACAGAAGCGACTAAAAAAATACCGTAAAATTAGTTTATGAATTTTAGGGCGAAAATTTAGAATATTTTGTTTATTTTTGATTTTTATACCTTTTTGGTGACACAAACTATCTATTAAAGACTATATACTAACTTTATTACTATGCAGGGACTTACTTACTGTATCAGGAATTTAGATACCACGAAAAATCCCCCGCTAAGGAACCGGAGCCGATTTTTTTAAGATACCTCGTGGATGTAGAGCTCGATTTTCGGTGTTCTGACGATGAGCTTGAGGCGCTGGGTGGCTCGTTGGCGATTTCGCAGCACCGAGCATTCATAAACCCCCGCATCTGATGGTAACGCGACGTCGAGGCGGACGGATTCGCGGGTCGTGCTCACCCTGGAGTTGGATTTTAGGGAGTACTTTAATTTAATGGATACCTAGGACGTATTGCGATCTGCTTGCTGCGCGAGTACAGCGTCGACGAGAAAAAGTCGACGCCGTCAGACCCGTAGAGACCCTGAAAATTTTTTCTACTTGATGTGACGAATAAAAAGCATAAAAATAAAAAAAGAATGAAATACTAGATGGACAATTTTTACGTAAAAAACTTTAATAACATACCGTAGATTCTTGACCCGCAATGATGGTCCCGTTTGGAATCGTCCACTCGACCTCGTCGCTTTCTGAAATTTAGCATTTTAAGGTCATAAAAACAATTAGCGATAAGCTAGAGCCTTTCCGGTGCTTTTGCATTATCGGGGGGAGGGGTTGATTCTTTACCCCGGATACAATTATTCGAATAGATCTAGAGAATTTTTTACACTTTTAATACCATTCTTAGACGTAAAATCCTTAGTTTTTCTACATAAATAAAAAATAGCGTTTTAAAACCAACCTTTTTTCGCCGAACAATATATAGAAAAAGTTGCGCCCACGGTGGCGTAGAGAATGTCGCCAAACGGCAAAATTGGCGCTGGAGGACATGGGTCCGATAGAGAAAATAGTGGCGAGAGGACGGAGGAGAGCCTGGAAAAAATGTAACTTTATAGAAAACACCAAATCTTGCTTATTAAATTTCAAATATAATCGTATTTTTATAGATTTTAATCATATTAACATATTAAAAAAGCTTACAAATGCTGTTGCCCCTTCACATCCTGGCACTCTGCGTTTAGGTAGTCTACTATCGTCGTCGAGACGCCATCCATCGCGCCGGCTTCACACCCACAATCCAGTGGATTGCCGGCGATCTAAAAACGAAATCGGTGAACAATTAGTATAAAAGCGTGTGAAAATATTGAAAAGGTTGTAACGTTACAAAAACTCACCTTAGCCTGCGCCACGCCATGTAGCAGCGCCGGGGAAATCGTCTGAAGCGAGCAGTTCGACAGGTCGAGGCTGGAAAAAGGTTTTTTAAAAGTTAGAAATAGTTTAAAAAAACGTTCAAGTATCATTTTAATGCTATTAAAAAAGTTTAGAACAGAATAAAGGCATCTAAAAACCATTTATATAACTTATCTTTTGACAAAAATGCTCAAAAAAATTGCTAAAATTCCATGTCGTCAGTTCAAAACCGTTCAGCTCCAAATTTAAAATAGCATCTAGTAAAAGTATAACTATAAAACCAATTAAAAAATATTTTGAAAGCCCAAAACCGTACCTAAATACCAGCGAGCTGTTACCGAGACTTTTCGGCGACACGACGGTCAGATTCTGGTTTCTGGAAAAATCGACCGTATGCAGCGCGGGGAGGCCGGCAAGCGCGTGAGCAGCAACGACTCGTAGGGAGGAATCAGCGAGTTCGAGGGTCTAAAAGAATTACTAACCTTAAAGAATACAAAAAGCCTTAGCTATGGCTACGGCTAAGCCTATCAACAGCTTCAAATTTCAAGTCCAAAGCCACCTGTAAAGCCGGGATCTCGAGCTGATGAGGCCTGAGAGCGGTGATCGGGTTGCCGCTCAAAATCAACCGCTTCAGGCCAACTAACGGAGCAAGTGCTCGACTTGGCGCCTCCAGAAGTTTGTTGTACGAAAGGTCCAGGGTTTCGAGCTGCAAAAAATTGGCGTAATAAAGCTTCTTAATAGGTTTGAAAAAACTCTGTAAGAGCAAGAAGAACTCTGGCTCTCTCTCTCTCTCTCTCTCTCTCTCTCTCTCTCTCTCGCTCTCCTCTTGCAAGCCTTTCAATTTCATGCTCTCGCAAATGAGCCTGAATAACAGCGATACCTGATAAAACGGGGCAAAGGAATCGTAGTCGAATTGACGGATCGCATTTCCGGAAAAGTTCAACACCTTCAGCCGCTGCGCCGACGAGAAGTCGCTAGTCTGCGCTCGCCAGAGCTGAAAGGTATAAAGTATGGTAAAACATCAAAATGCCAAAATGACGAACGCTTTTAAAGGAAATCCATGGTCAAGGAAAACAATAGTTATGACAGCCATATCCGCTTAAATCAGCGAATACGACTAAACCATACCTGATTCTCGCTCAAATCGATCTCTTCCACATTCGGGGTCAGCCGGAAGATGTTCTCGCTGAGGGCCTAAAAATATCGTAATTACCGTGGCGTAGCGTATCGAAGCCAAACGTATCATACGTAACGTAACGTAGCGTATCCTATCGTACTATCTTGTATCGTATCGTATCGTAACGT